GTCACATTCAATTCATCCGCGAGTTCTTCTTGAGTTTGAGTATCATCTTCATCCAATAAGGCTTGCAATTCGTTGTCTGCGAACTTTTTCGGTGGTTTCCCACGCTCTTCGTTTCTCACATCAAAATCACCACTTTTGAATTTTTTCAACCACTCAAAACATTGTGTTTTATCAAGAGCATGTTCACCGTAAACTTCGACAAGCATTCGATACGATTCTGCAGCAGTTTTCTTCAAATGATAACAAAAAACCAATGCTGTCCGCAAATCGTAATTCGTAGGCACAAAACTCGACATGTTTAAGGTTATAGAAAAATATACCGGTGTATGGAACTTAGGTTGTGTGTGTTGAAAATCTTCGTCAGCTGTTAGAGGGAGATGATGGCGCTGCAGAAGCGGTCTTACGATCCCTAAACTGATGGCTAGCACCTTCTATAGGGAAATTCCGGTTTCATACTTCTACACCTGGTATGTATCTGAGTAGAGGAGAGAGAGAGAGAGAGAGAGAGATGCATACATAAATTAAAAATTATATTCAAGGGAAACAGGAACGTTATGAAACGAGGAAGTTTCGCGGTGCGCATCGAAAATTATTCTACATTGTTTCCGCAGAGGTCAAATGTTTTATACTTTGAATATTGTTATAATATATTGAAAAGAGGATTTGTGCTAATAAGTGTCAAAATTTGGTAAATATTTGTCGACCAAATATTTGATTACCGCAACCAAATCATTTAGTTCTGTACAATAAATATACAATATACGGAACTAAATTGGTTAGAGTAATCAGATATTTGGTAGGGAAATATTCACTAAACTTTAGCACTTATCAAATCCTTTTTTTAGTGTACGAAGCGCAATGTGGAACACCGTTTAGTTGCTTCGATACCGATGCGAATATCCGTTGTACTTTCGTCGTTGAACGTTCTCGTTCGCGCGTCCGGTACAACGAAATGGAATTAAGGTCGACATTAAGGAATACGCTGAATTGCACGAAATTGCGATGAAATTACATAAGTGCATATATTCTCTGTGTTATCGCTATTGATGCTGTGCGTCGGGAGAAAATTGCATCACAGTCGTCGCACGTAATCACGAACGTATTTGTAATCATCGTATATACGATACCTTTATTGGCTTGCCGTCGTGAGTCAAGTGATGGGAGCACGTTTGTATCATTTTTAGGCCCATCCATGCGATTTGCTGAGCGTGTGTATTGGTATTTCGATGAAGGCCGCATGCAACGCAATAGGCATCGCCAATTGTTTCTACCTGTTTGCAGGAGAATAAAATCGATCAATGATAAAATCAATATAGCCTGTATTCAATGTTTGCCTTAGATGATTTCAGATTCGTTTAGATGAAGATGAGATGAAAATGTGATGAAATTTCGAAAAATTCATCTTAGATGAGATAAAAATGATTTTGCATTTGATTTATCTAGATGAAACATAAGGTAAGTAGCGCTACTTATCTAGATACTTTTTTAAATGATATAGTTTCCATGAGAAACTTTATAAAAATTTATAAGAAAAATTACGCAGATCATAAAATTGCACAACGGTTAAGTAATTCGTCATTGTAAGTACTTTTAATTCAAGGATCTAATAAAAAAGACCAATAATCATTGATTGTTCATACACAGTTGACAGTTTGATACGAGTTTAAAGTAGATTGATCAATTGAAACAAATGGTCTGTTCTGTTTAGTTGCATTACTGAACTGCTGCAATAAGTTAGAATGAGATAAGTATATTTTGTCTCGCTCAAACTTATTGTACCGGTTCAGCGGTGCAGCTAAAAAAAGAACAGACCAAAGGGGATGAAACCAAAATTTGTTGATTGAAATCTAATCTCTCGTCTGATTCGGGCTTAACGCATAGATCGATATTATTTCATTCCTTTTATCGAAAAATGAGTACAGAATATGGACCGTAACGTCATTTCAGATAATTTTTAGATGAGATAACAGTTTTTTCATCTAAGGCGAAGATGAATATATTTTGTATTTCTTCCATCTAGATAAAGAGATGATCTATTTATTCATCTGCATTATTATTTAGATACCAATTTTATCTAGATACCGGCAAACACCGCCGGTACTCGTTTTGTGCATACAACGGCGTTGTATAGGCTCGATACAACTAATTTTTTGTATTCGAAAAATTGCACTCCACTTCGCCTCATCGATAACTCGCAATTATTTTGAGAGACGAGAGAAAATGACGATGATGGGAGGTAAGAAATCAACCGCGCGCTAAATTAGCTTCCTCCGGTGTCTCACAGATGGCGGCATCGTGCATCTTCGGGCTTCACGAGTCAATGCGCGAGATAAATCTCAGCTTAGAGAAGGATATTTATAGGATATCGACCGGCTTTATAAAAGTACGCATGTTCCACCCGATTGACGATCATTAGAAGCGACGTACTTTTCACGTTATCGTACGACATGCCAAAAGACATTTTATACCACATGAAGTGGAACATTACGTTAAAACTTATCCTGATTTTCGTCAACGAGGAATTTCAAAAGATAAACGACTGTTCTTCCGGTTGATCGCAATAATTAATCAATTATTAGAAAAGTACGTCATATAAATCCGCAACGAAATCTTTGCGAGAGCAAATCGGAAGATTTCGCAATCTACTTCGAATATGCGCACCTTATATACATCCAACTGACCGCAGTACAGGTCATATTGCTCGTAGAGGTTCTGCAGCATGTTGATGACCATCATCGGCGTTGCCGTGGCGCAGATAGCCGTGAACCCGACTATGTCGCTGAACAGCATCGTGACGTCCGAATATGTCTTCGCCTCGATTGTTTCTCCTATACGATCAACATATCGGTATTTATTGTACCGTATATCTCTCGCGAGATAAGCGTATTCAAGCTGTATTGTATCGAATAGTAAAGTCGCGTTTAAGGAACTTGAAGATCGATATCGTAATATTCCGCGAACGGAACCGTAATTTACCCAGCCACAAGCGTTTCGCTATATCCGGTGGAAATATGAGATGTAGGAGGCTGACATTCTTCTCCCTTTCCGCATCGACCGCTAGGTTGGCTTCTTCTATGGAGCTCTTCAGTTTATCCATCCGTCTCCTTAAGCCGTCCTGAAAGGAGATTATCTCTCGCTGTATCCCTCGTGGGAATTATAATAACGACACAGAGTATCCCCGTCTCTCTCTTAATTATTTAATTAATTCAAAGAGAGTAACGTGAATTACGTCTACGCTGTGTAAAAAATTTCATGTTAAATTTAACGGTCCGCAAGATTTTTTCGTGTTAATTTAACACAAAATGAATATGCTGAAAAGTAACGGAAATGTATCAGAAATTAACATAAAATTATCGTATCCGTAAAATGCCCTTCGACATTGAGATATACAATTATTTTAACACTCGCACATTTTGAATATCGATTCAACACAAAATTATTGAGGCAACTTCAGCGCAATATGTTAAATTAACAAACGGGTATGTTAAGAATTTAACGTAAAAATTTTTTTAACGCAAGTAAAACAATGTTCTTTTCTTGTGAGTGCGTATATCTTATTCTCCGGTTATATGTTCGTAACGAAATAATGATATTGCGACTTGATAAGAAAGCCACAAACGTAAATCCCAGCGTCTCGCGACAAGTGGTTATTTACAACGATATCGGTTCAATGGATTTAATCACCTGTGCTCTGGCTTGTTCGCCGACGAGTATAACGTCTCTCGTAGCATCGTGAAGAGGAATATCAGAGATGAAGAGTCCTCGACCGGTTAAGCCCTCTAGACCGTTTAAGAACGGCGAGCTGACGAACAAAATCGAGTCCGATTCCGGACAGTGTACCATCTGACCCTTCATTTCCAAACCCTGTAATATGACGTGACATAGTTATTACATATTTTCCATTTTTTCCTTTTCTCAACAAATCCGCGTTATCGGGCTGTCACAGTGAGTAATGATTCGCCCCGGGAGCTTCTCGAACTCCAACGGTTCTCCGCCGTTTAGCTTTAGACGATTATAGATTCATCCAGATGAAGATGAGACGAAAATCCGAAAAATTTATTTTAAACGAGATGAAGATGATTTTGCTTTATACTCATCTAGATGAAAGATAAAATAAGTAGAATTACTTATCTAGATCATTTTTAGATGATGTCGTTAACATGAGAGACTTTATGAAAATTTATAATAAAAATTACGCAAATCATAAAATTGCACAAAGGTTAAGGAATTCGTCAAGATAAATGGCAACGATTCGCCCCATGAGCTTCTCTAACTCCAACGGTTCTCCTCCGTTTAGCCTGCCTCTATTTACGTGTTTGTGTTATCGGATTCGTGATTAAGTTGATCATCTTGCGTTTGGCAAACCGCATGATGAGCGTACCTCTGCGGGATATTTATCGACGCCGTGCGGCCTCTGAAGGGTCAGGATGAACGGTGTGTTCGCACGCTTTAGGACCTCGTGAAAGGTCAAAGTGACACCGTGGGGCCGTGTGAAGACGAAATACGTCGATATCTCTCTGCCGAGCCGATTAAGGTGGTGGCCGAAGATCCTCATAAAACCGACGCCGAGCTGCACGAGCTCCAGCTGGCGATCGACGACGAAGTGCCACGGGAACGCCTTGCAGAAGCTCGCTACCCCCATGCGAAGGTCCGTTGCCTCGGTGGAGAGTGGACGGAAAGTGGGCGACGTCACGTCGAAATCATCGTCATCTACGTCGGCGTCCAGCGTCTGTTCGCTGTAACGCTCCGGAGTGATGCGGTATCTGCAACATCCGGAGCGATCGCTCGCAGTTGTCTTTCCTCCCATCGCAAGCACGGATGAAGATGATCTATTTATTCATCTGGATGATTATTTCGATAACATTATCTAGATGCTGGCAAACGCTGACCACGCGTGTTGGAAATCCCGTCCCGGTGACGTTCATACGTATACGTACGCGTCTGTGTAGACAACTTATCGTGCAAATATGCAAATTGAGTGCAGCACGCTCACGGTGAACGTTACTCTCGTTGATGATGAAGCCAGGTAAAGCCAGGAATTTTCAAGCGTCTCGCGGAGCGTCGCAGGTGGAAGCACCAAACCGGCGCACGTCCTGCGCAACTTTTAATTAGACGGCGAAATGTAAGCGATATGTACGCGGTGTGACGGTATTTTGCACGTCATTCGCATGTCCATGCCCGTCCGTCCTTACAGAATTCACGCGACTCGTCGGTGATGCCGCACCTATCATCAAATATTTGCCACCGTCGTAGAATCAATGTTTGTTCAAACGAAAGGTTTGTACCCTCACGTGCCGCCCTTCCTTCGGCTATCCGCATGAATTATATTATACTCACGCGACATTATTTCGGTAACACGCGATTCGGCGAGCAAACATGAAATCCAGTAGCCACGGAGAGAAACGCGCGACCATAAAACACGGCGCAACGGTATTCGGGATTTTACGAACCGCATTTCGCCCTCAAAGTGGGCGAGTATACATATCATTGCGTGATCGAAACGTAGCGTAAATTTTCGCGCAAACAAGAATTGTTTGAACGAGTAACATGGACGATCGATCGCGTGTAAATTAATATCGCCTAAGGAACGACATGTCGCAATGCCGGTAAGGGCCATTCCCTCCCGTCGAAGTTCGCGATGTATTTGTGTTTGCCGGCAATAACGTAATTGCGGAATTTTATGAAAGTGTTTTTCCAGCTTTACCGTTTGCCACTCATCGATATGAAGATTTAATCGAGGTGATTGAATAGAAAACAATTGGAGCGAATATCGGAAAGATCGTAACTGTGTTGCGCGGTTAATGTCGTGTGTCACCAATTTTTACATACCGGGTGTCCCAAATTAATCTTAGTTACCGCAGTGTGCAAGTAAAACGAGTGAAACCGAACAGAAAAGTCCTGTACCGTTTTGCGAATAACACATGTAGAGGCTTCTTTATTAATTAATAACTCAACAATTTGCGTGTTATTTGCAACATGGTGAGGAACTTTTTTGTTTCGAATAGTCTAATCTACAAATATATGACAACTATTGGGCCTAACGACAAGTTCGAGGCTGAAGGGTCAAAGTTCAATATATTGATGTCTGTCGATGGTTACAACAATTGTCATATATTTGTAAATTAGACCACTCTGAACCAAAAAGTTCTACAGTATTTTGCAAATAACACGCAAATTGTTGAGTTATTAATTAAAGAAGCCTCTGTAAATGACCATTTTCAATCATTGATAACTCGAAATTTTGAGTGTTATTTGCAAAATGACAGTTGACTTTTCTACTCAGTTTCACCCGTTTTATTTGTACACCACGAGAACCGAGATCATTTTGGGACACCCTGTATGTCTCTAGAAATTGTGTTTCCAGTATTTTCACCGTTTCCACTGTGTTTTGATTTCATATTTCTTCCTCCCCCCCCCCCCCCCNCCTCGTCTTTTTCGTCAGGTTTTTTTCAGGATTTACGAGTAGCTGCAGACTGCGTCTCCAAGCCAAGATTGTGTCACTTCGGAATGAGGCGACGCGCGCCTTCTTCTATATTCATCGCTACGCGGAAAATTCGCTCGCGCGTGACGTTCGATAACAATTTTTCGCGTTCCTCGCTCGACGTAGATAATCTACCCGGAAATTGTCCTTGTATTCCTCCACCTCTACGCTCCGATAGCGTATCTCGGCACTGAGCTCTTCGAAGTCGCAGCGAAGAGACGCGGAAATTAAAATCCACTGGTGATCCGCCATGATCGGTAGTTAAATAGTGCCTAAGGAGAACCCAGTAAGCGAGAAACATTAAATATGTTTTGTGAAACGTTGATTTTACGTAGATTTTACAGACATTCTGACACAATATTTTACAAATGTTCTTAAACCGTTATTTGATAATATAACATTAATAATATTAAAATCGTATTGTATAAATATTATTTTTAATGTTTGGGTCAAATATCGTTAACAGTGACATTGCGTGCAACATTAAGAACACGCATACTTAAAAGCGTTACATGTTATGAAATACACGGAAAAAAATTCACTTCATGTAACTGAATTTCGGTTATGGAAACTGAAATTTTGTGTTTTCTAGGGACTGGATAAAAACTCGGTTGTAGAAGCAGAATATTTCCTATAAAACGCTTCAGCTGTTCTGACAATTGTGCTCGGTTATCTTAACCGAATTGATATTACTTTGATCAAAAATTATCCGAACTTCATTTTTAAAAATCGAAATAACAATTCAATCAGCAAAATTCTGATAGCCTCCTTCAAAGTAGCTCCCATTGCTTGCAACGCACATATGCCAGATTTGATCCAGTCCTGGAAACATCGCTCATACGCGGCAGACGGTATGGCTTTCAGTTCAAGCAGCGATTTTTCTTTGATATCCTCAATCGATTCGAAACGCTATCCGCAAAGTGGTTTTTTTCAGTTGGGGGAACAGGAAATAGTCGCAGGAAGCCATGTCTGGTGAATACGGTGCTTGTGGAGCGACATTCGTTGAGTTTTTTGTCAGAAATTCACGCACATGTGTCGGGACATGCGACGATGCGTTGTCGTGATGCAAAATCCACGAGTTGGTTTCCCACAATTCCGGTCGTTTCTCACGGATTGCTTTGAGCAAACGCCTCATTACGGACAAGTAGTATTCTCCATTGCCTTTTGATCGTGCTTATGCAGGGAGAGAGGTCCTTATGCACCTCGAAGGAGTTATAGGAACTCTACACTACATGTATATATATAGTATTCCTTTTGAGGAAACCGAAAACAGCCCTTCGACTAGTGAAAAAAGGTTACATTACTGCAGCCGAAACTTAATTAATTGAATATTTTCGGTTGTCATAATTTAGTTTTTTCCGCGTATCATTGTAATAACGTTAATGATTTCTTGCTTACTGGGAAGGGATCGATCGGGCACGATAAAATAAGGTAAAATATATCATTCACGGCCGCTGTGCTCCACAGAAAGAGAGAGAGAGAGAGAAAGAGAGAGAGAGAGCGGCGGAAGAAGTTGCGTAACCAACTATGTTCATGAGGGTTTACCTAAAAAATTTAGTATTGTAGGGATCCGGCAGTATATACACATCGGCTTTGTCGTTATAAAACTGCCTGGCGATGCCCTTGAGACTGCCAACCAGCAGATAAGCTATGGAAGGGTGGTCAGTGGTGAAGTGTAATTCCAATGCTTCCGGCGTGGCGATACACACGAACTCCGCCTCGGTGGTGTCCGATCCGGACTGGTGCTGGACAACGTCGTTCACACCGTCCAGCGTGGTTAGGAAGGCGGTGAGATCGTTTCCGAGGCAACGGAAGGCCCGTTCCAACAGACCCACGCAAGCCGTGGAGATCAGCTCCTGGCCGAGACGATCGAGAAACGCGTTCACGTCGACGTCTGCAAAATGTTCCGCAAAACATTAATCCATCGAAGCACATACTTTTCCTCCCGCTTGTTTTTCAACAAATTTTTCGGGTCGTCAATTATGAATTTGAGATCAAAGTTGGAAAATTTCAGAATTGAAATGTTTAAATCTAAAATGACGGGTCCAATATGAAGGACCGAAATTGCAGCGAATCACTTCAAATTTGGCGTGCTAGAGCTTTCGGGGTGACTGATTAAGAATTTTGTGTCAAAATAGGAAGATTCACCGAATTTAAGATGGCGGATCCAATATGGCTGATCATAATTGCGGAAAATTTAACAAATCAATTCAAATTTGGTATTTCGGGGTTTTTGAGACTGATAACGAATCCAAGGTTCAAATTGGAAAATTTGTGAAAACAAAGATGGTGGATTCAATATAACGAGCCAAAATTTGTCTACGCTGTAGATTACATCATTTCAAACTCTAATTTGTTTTCACAATATCGCATTTCATAATCTGTACTTGGAAGCTTTGAAGCTTGCCATAAGCATTGAGTTTTTGCACGTTTGATCCACTAATTTCTATTCAACATTCCGTAGTTTTTCGATTTCAACTCCAAATTTTGATTCGTAATCAGCGATCCGAAAATCCCCTATATACCACATTTGAAGAAAATTGCTTGATTTGCCGCAATTTCAGTCCGCCATATTAGACCGCCACTTTGGATTTTGAAAATCTTCTAATTCCGACATCAGTTTTCATAACCAACGATTTCAAGAAAATCTATATATAAGTTTTAAAACCTAAATTTTGGAAAAATCGCTGAAAAATGTACTTTCTCTGAAAAACAGGCATTTTTCTTAGTTTGGTTATTTAGAAGATTTTTGCACTTAACAAAATGTGTATTTTAATGATTTTTTTACATTCACCTATCCCTAAGATACTGAAAAAATAAAAAAAACTGTCCAAATAATAAAAATTTTATCGACAAATATCTGAAAGAAAAAGGGTGGGAAGTATATTTTTCCCAACGTGCTTTTAAGGGTTAGTTTGTCGTCGTGGGAATTCCGTCATGCGGGAATCATTGATTTTCCTCTCGACAATGTTTGAAGGATCAAACTTTGTATACAATGGGTAGAGAGTGATTAATATTTGCACGCGTGACGTGTCGCTTCGAAACTTTTGCAGGAAGTGTGAAATGGATCTCCCTTCCAGAAAAATGCGTGTTATCAAATATCTCGATAATATATCCCTTCTAAAAAATGTTGAATAAATCGAAATGTTAAAATCTCTTTTTTCCGCAATGCTGTTTAGCTGTCTCGAGATATCTCCATTCCGATGCAAGTTGTTGCTTACTTCGACTCGTGGCCATCATTGTATAAGTTATGCGTTTCGATAATAACGCGTTTTGATAATAAGAAATCATTTCCTCATCGACGAATTTCAGTCCGGTACTTTATTTCGTTACACGAACTGAGATTTTTTCTGTGTTGTTCTATTCATAGTACAAATGCGGCATAAAAATTCAGAGAATATGCCCTGCAAAATACAAATATGCCACACACCGAGTATTTCAACGTATATTTACATGTGATATTTTATGTATCGTCTTATATTTTTCTCTGTATATACACATTGGACGTTTCACGAGGAAACCGACAAACTTCTGAAATCTGTTCCTGAGGCATTCCTAGCAAAAAGAAGTTCGAAAATACTGCACGTAAATTAGGTTCAGTTAACAAGATATGAAAAATTTCATTCTTGTCAGTAATGCAAATTTCTGGATGACGACTGTCCTGCCACGCTCTGAGTTTCATTTTGTGAGATTGTTCAAAGTTTCGTGTATACAACGACCGTAAACCAGAGATCTGTTAACCGTTAATCGACAGAATAACAGAAGTCACAGATGGTATTTGCATTGAACAACAAATTAATTTGCTACGATTTGTGGTGCAGTCAGCGTTATGTATGTCGTGCCATTTTCTAGATGGAAAATCACACGATTTTCAATCTTATATATAGGGTGTTCCAAACTAATCTCAGTTCCCGTGGTGTGCAAGTAGAACAGGTGAATCGTCTCGACGATGAGCTCCTATCAAAAACTCAAACGATCAATACGGACCTCCACTCGCAGCAGTTGGAAAGAGTTCGGACAAAATTCAAGGAACTCAAGGAACCCAATTTGTCAACTGCAAAGGTATTCTCCTCCACCAGGACAACGCTCGTCCCCATGTGAGCGCACTCACATTGAGAAAAATCAGAGAGCTTAACTGGGAACTTCTCGAATATCCACCATACTCTCCTTGCGCCAGCCGGCTATCATCTTTTCCGACCTCCCAAATTTTCTTAACGGAAAAAAGTCCATTTCGGCGGACAAAGTCCAAAGAGAGTTGGATCTTTTCTTGAATTCCAGAACTAGTGCTATTTTCGAGGCCTTTGAAAGTGCTTTTCGTGAGAAACAATTATTTCCTCTTCGCATAAAGTACGAAAAGACTTTCTGACCAACCCGATACGTTATATTCTTCAGTTTTCTGGTTGATTTTGGTACCGAGAAAGAACTTCGCGTTTATGTTGAACCAACAGTAGCGAAAAGCGCGTCTGGTTGAACTTTTATCTGCCGTTCCGCGGCTGCAAAGGGTTCATCCTCTCTGGAATCGCACGGGAAAGTACCTATGAATGCTTAACACGACATTGAATACTAAATCAACGCGTTGGAGAATTGCAGTCTCGCGGGGTCGATAATACACGCCGCGTTTCAGTGCCGACGAGGCCGGCTGTGGTCGGCTTCCTTGCAAATCCGGAAATAGACGGGGGTGAACGAGGGCCGCTCTATTGCTCCCGTATTATTTCACATCACGAATATCACTATGATAACCAATGTTTGCCTTAAATGATTTCAGATTCATCTAGATGAAGAGCACTTCATCTTAGATGAGATGAAGAATGATTTTGCTTTTGATGTATCTGGATGAAATATGAGGTAAGTAGCGTTACTTATTAGACAATTTTTTAGACGCTTTCATGAAAAACTTTATAAAAATATATAAGAAAAATTACGCAGGTCATAAAATTGCAGAACGGTTAAGTAATTCGTCCACGTAATCGCTATAAATTTAAGGATGTAACAGAAAAGATCAATCGTCATTGGTTCACTCATAGTCGACGGTTTGATACACGTTTAAAGTGGATAGAACAACTGAAAAAAATGGTGTGTTCTTTTTAATCGCACCGGTTCAGCAGTTCAGCAGCTAAAAAGAACAAATCAAAGGAGACAAAACCGAAATTTGTTGATTCGTTGAAATCTAATTTCCAATCTCTAGTATGATACGGGCTTAACGCATAGGCCCGTATTATTTCGTTTATTTGATCGAAAAATGAGTTCAGAATATGGATCATAAAATCACTTTAGTTAATTTTCAGGTGAGACGATAGTTTTTTTATCTAAGATAAAGATGCATATCTTTTCTACGTATATATCTTCTATCTAGATAAAGATAAAGATTATCTGTTTATTCATATGGATGATTATTCAGATAATTTGATCTAGATACCGGCAAACACTGAGGATAACACGATAATTATAATAGCAGTTGCCCTTGTGCGAGAGTGCGATACGGCCGATATCAATCATCCGAAATGTCGCGCGCGTGCGCGCCTCGTTCCCATGACGTTATTCCATATCGTCAGTGGCGGATAGGGTCAAATCGATCGAGGTTTTAACGTAATGCTCTTTAATCGGCCCTCCGGCGGGCCAGATACCTGACAATATTACATCCCCCCCCTCCCTTCTCTTCCAGCTTTGCATACACGAAAATATCGTTGTTGTGTCGCCCTGCCTAGCGCACCAAATATTGCGCGGCGAAATTATCCGATAGATGTATTAGATCACGCGATAAAACATTGCGGACGTTTGCCTATAGTAATATCTGCCACTTCTAGAATAGAAATTGCGGGAGCAATAAAATCCATATACATAATCCTTGATACATGAAATTAGGCAAAAAAGAAATACAAAATCTTTAATACCCACAACGTACCCACAACATTTTGAACATTTTTGAAAAATGTAACAATAATATATCCTTTCAAACCATCCCCAGAATTTCTCGGACATATCTTGTGGGGGAAAGAAAAATCACATTAAACTCATGAAAATCTAGGTACGTGTACCTCAAAAACCGCACTAAAAAGAAAACTCATCTCCCAATCAGTATATTTCGAGATGAAAATTTTTACTTGTGCACCCAAGACGCTGGCGTCGAAACCGCTAAGAATCAGAGCTTATAGTCCTTTGGATGTATCGAACAAAATTATTTCTATAAAAGAATGACTGTCGTTTTTGGCTGGTCCCTTTTTAGGAGACTTTTCATTAAAACATCCATTTTCAACATCCATTTTCAACATCATTTACATTAAAAATACGAGGTTTCAATACGCTGCGCGTTCTAAAAACCGAGGGTTTATATACACTAAAATCCTCAAAAAATGCATATATTTTCCAAAAAAATAAGAAAAAAATAAAAATAACTCAGTTCAATAAAACACATCAAAAATGTTAAAATTTATAATTTTAAACGTTTTTTTAAACTGCATTCCATTTTTAGCTGGCCCCTTCTGGAATATCAAAACAATCGAAGTCACACCCCAATCTCCGTAAAAAACAGCCAAATCTAAACGAATTGATCTGCTTACCGAAGCTTAAAAACATTTTTAGGTACACTTCAGTTGAAGTAAACGCTTTGGTGCCATCAAAAATAAGCCATTATTTTCAAGCAAAATCATTTTTAAATTATGTTTTCCATAAACAAAATTAATCTGAGGTAGTTTTTGGTTCAATTATCATTGGTGTTGCGGATCCAACAAGCCTGCGGATCCGCCTGCCGGTGTTGCCTACTGCATAGCGTGGTTGCCGGACCTCCAGGCAACTTGTGATCGCCTGCACGCAGCCAAATATACTCCCGCTAGAATATATATCTACGGGCGCTCAGCGCCCGTACATCGCTTTTGATTGGTTATTCTCTGGTGGTTC